CCGTTGCGTTGGAGCGTTGAGTTTTTAAAAACGGATTTGCTAACATACCGTAGGATAAAAATGGTTTAAGATTGGGTTTGTTTACTTCTTTGGCACGGGCTGTTTTAGTGTTGTCTTTTTTTTAAGACAGTACAAACGCAAACGGTCATATTTACGAAGTGATGGTAGACGCCTCGTCGTCAATGAGAACATCTTCTCCCACCGAAAACGTATCGCCGGAAATCTTGAAATAAATTCAGGAATAATGCAAGCACCAATATTTGAACATCTTCTCCCACCGAAAATGCATCGCCGGAAATCTTGAAATAAATCCAGGAATAATGCAAGCACCAATATTTGAACCCTGGTCAGCTGGGGATACCACTGTTCCTCGAACCATCCAACCATAGGTTGGTTCGCATCGTTATCTTTCTTACCTGACTGTTTCAGCATTATGGGGAGAGGATTTGTAGCATGCAAGTGCAGGGGCACCGAGTCCCTCGTGCGTGCTATTTTTTGGCTTTTGATTTTTAAATTTTCATATCTTTTGAAGAACAAGCCTAAATTAAGTTTTGTTTCATATTGGTGGTTCAAGTGACTAGGGCTTTCAAAGAAGATCTATTTTGAATACATTTTGAGAAGTTTTGAAAATATCCGACTCGGTTGCATGTCCACACTCGCATGAAAATTTGATTATTTTATATATGAGAAAGTTGTAACAGCTCCCGGGTGCCCATACACCTCATGAATAGTAAATTCAGACAAAACTGAAAGAAAAACAAAAAATCCAAAACTTTCAGGGATCAAAGATGATCAAAAATTTGATGTTCTTGCAAAATTTCAGCCAAAAATACCATTCGTGGAGCCCTCATAAAAAATCACTGCTCAAAAGTGCACATAAATTTGACCGGTGATTTTTTTTAGTTTAGGGCTCCTCAGATGTTATTTGTACCTGAAGATTTGCAAGATGATCGAAAGTTTGAACATATTTGATGTCTCAAAGTTTCATATTTTTTATTTTGTTTTCAATTCTCTTTTTGAATTTATTGTTCATAGAGGGTGTAGGGTTGTAACACCCCGGATGTAACTTTCCCAATTTGTACTCCAACTCTTGCCGTTTCCGGCGCTAAGTTATATTTATTTCCTCGGGTTCGGGTTTTGTCTCCGTGTGTTGTTGTCGTTGTCATACTTCTCATATCATGTCATCATGTGCATTGCATTTGCATACGTATTCGTCTCTTGCATTCGAGCATTTTCCCCGTTGTCCGTTTTGCATTCCGTCGCTTCGTTCTCCTCCGGTGGCCATTTCTAGCTTACTTTCGTGTGTGGGGATTAAACATTTCCGGATTGGAACGAGACTTGCCAAGCGGCCTTGGTTTACTACCGGTAGACCACCTGTCAAGTTTCGTATCATTTGGACTTCGTTTGATACTTCAATGATTAACCGAGGGACCGAAAAGGCCTCGTGTGTGTTGCAGCCCAACACCCCTCCAATTTGGCCCAAAACCCACCTAACTCTGCTCCATCATCTAGAGCGTTCGATCACGATCGCGTGGCCGAAAACTGCACCTCATTTGGACTCTCCTAGCTCCCTCTATGGCTATAAATAGATCCCCTCCGTTTTCAGATCTCCTTCCTCCTCGAAAGCCTAAAATTCACTCCCGCCGTCTCCGGACATGTCCGCCGTCCACCGGACATCTTTGCGCCGCCACCCGCAGCCAATGGGCGTGTGACACGTCACCACCGCCGCCGCCAATCCTGCCGGCCCG